CTTGTATTTACTGCTCAAGGCACCGTCCCATTATAGCTTACTCATAATGTTAAAGCTGCTTGCTCAGTTGGCAGCTACTGATGCTGGATATTTGTGTCTGTAGTAATTATTTTGTTCTAACAGAGCTGCAGGCTGAAGTTAAGCAGGTTAAATGACTCCCATCTCTTTCATACAGTATCTGATGTTTGTTCTGTTTTCATTCGTCTCCCCATTTTTTTTACACTAAAGCCCATGTGCTTCAATTGTAGCTCATTTGAAGAAAGCTTTGGAAGCAAACCTTCAAGGTTCTTGTTCTATAATCAGAGCTTGAAATTCGAGTTATATAGGACTATTCATACTCAATAAAAAAATTAAATAAAAACAAAACCTGCATAGCTTTAGAGACGAGGAAATGATCAGTTTCTTCTAGATCTCTTCCACTTGAGTTGTTTCCATGGCCACCGCTGCTTTTGCTTTTTTTCTGATGTGGAGATACAGGAAAGTTCATTTCACCTTGGGTTCATTGTGAAAACTCTTCTCCAGGGCCACAGAGACTGGTGTGTGGCATAGTTTTGGGGGGAAAAAAGAAAAAGAAAAAGAAAAAGAAAAAGAAAAAAGAAAGAATCTTGTAAACAGACAGTAGTTTTGACATATGATGACACAGAGCTGTTTAGCGAACTGCTGAAACCCACAGCAAGAGACTTGCATCTCACCATTAGATCAAAATAAATGTAACTGTAACTTCCTGAGGATGATTCTCATTAAACAAGCATACTGCAACATCGCAAATATGGATATTATGTGCAGTCAAAGCAAATAATTAACAAATATATTGACACAAAATACAGTTAGGTCTGCATTCTTATTAAAAAATAATAATAACAATTGAAATAAAATCTTAAAAGTGAGATGTTTCATCTTTCTTGGCTTCAGTGACTGTAATAGCTGCCTTCCCCAAATTAATCCATATTAGTATGCATATATATATATATATATATATATTAGTATGCATATATATATATATTAAGGCTGTCATCGTTAATGCGTTAACACATGCGATTAATTTTACAATCCTTAACGCATTATAATAATTTAACGCAAAATTACTGAAGCACAATTTCTATTCTAACCCTTTAACCCAATTTTGCTACTCTGCTTGCGATTAGATCATTATAAGCTGCAAAACTCCGGGAAAGTTTTCAGTCCAATGATCCAGTAAGCGAATGCTTTCAAACAATCCGTCCAAAACAGCGCTAATATAAAGGAAACCAGGCTGATTACATTAGAGATTGCAGAGAGAACAGAGACTCGCGTTGCGTTTTCAGTGAATTATTAATTCCAGTGTGTTTCGCTTTTAAACACAAGCTCTGTCATTTTCTGTGATTGTCTCTGAAGAGCGCGAGCCCTCACATGTCACACGCTTGTACAGTACAGACTGAACGGATTGTCAACACATACCACCGCTGTATGGCTAGATGAGACGCAAACTACGGTTTCTCGACTGGATAACCAGTCTCGCTAGTAAAGTTTTGATGGATGAAGACTGCAATCAAGGTAAAGACGAGATGATTCTGGTGGCGTACAGGAGTCGTACAGTAAGCATACGTGAGTCCGTTATAATAATGTGTGTATAAGTGCTCTTGATGCACTGATCGCACATTGTATTTATGCACAGGCACAGACATTTCCGTACATTCACGTTGTTTCCACACACATTCACGATAATGTTTTGATTTGGCATGTGTATGTTGCTGTGTTTAGTTATACTGAATGAATCCGTGTACTGTAGATATATGCAGTCAGCAGACAGTTGGTTTAGGTTTTTTTTTGGTATCTCCATGTGGTCCTGTTCGGTATCGCAACTTGGCTTCTCTAAAGTGTAAAATAGCTACACTGAACAAAATTATAAACGCAACATTTTTGTTTTTGCCCCCATTTTTCATGAGCTGAACTCAAAGATCTAAGACTTTTTTATGTACACAAAAGGCCTATTTCTCTCAAATATTGTTCACAAATCTGTCTAAATCTGTGTTAGTGAGCACTTCTCCTTTGTCGAGATAATCCATCCACCTCACAGGTGTGGCATATCAAGATGCTGATTAGACAGCATGATTATTGCACAGGTGTGCCTTAGGCTGTCCACAATAAAAGGCCATTCATTATAAAACTAAATTCCATCATAATTTTGTCTTGTGGAATGTATTTAAATATATGTTAAATATGATATGTTAATCCAAATCAGGCAGTATACAAATTCAGTTTTTATAATCCTTCATATTTTTTGATAAAACATTGTGCAGATTCTGTAAAGCTATGATGTATGACACCCACATTTTCTTCTTTTATAAAAAAAGACTGTAGATTAAAAAAAAGGTCTCACTTCAAAGCATTATGAAAATGGAAGCTATTAGCTGCCATGCTGACTCAACCTCAGGAAGAAAGCATGAAAGGCAACAAACAAACAAACAAACAAACACGTAACTTGTGCATTGTAAGTGTAATGTTATCAGTGGACTGCTTGAGTTATGGACAGCCCTGAGTGGAGTGTGGAGGATGGATATAGTTATATTTGTTATCAAACTGTACTCCATCACCATCAGATTGGCCTTACTGCGCCAGCTCTAGAGTCTGAGCCAGTCCATATTCTCTTGTGAGCTTCAGTAAAGAATAAGGCAATCATTTTTGCTCTAGTTCCTGCTCTTGTCTTTTCAATAAATGACACCTGCTTTATAAATACTTTCCTGCTCTCGCTGCAAAACTGCCAGCCCTTTAAACCAAAACTACTTGCTCAACTTTTAGTTGCTACATATTATATAGGCTTTTTAGAGATTTCGAGTTTACAAACAAACAATGGTGCCTATAGGAAAATATCCTATAGATTTTAATATCTGCATTGCAAATTTAGCCGTTGCTTAAATCTCCAGATTTTATTTATTTTTTCTGAGAAAATATCTCAGTAAGTAAGGTGTCTTGTCTGGTATTTCAAAAGACAACAATGTCTCAAATGATGCTCAAATTATGTTAAAACAACTCAAACTATGAACTTTTTCCATTTGACAATGACCATACTGAATTATCAGGGCTGTAATTCTATGTAATTAGAATTGTTATGTCTAACTTTATATTTGCAAGGCAAGGAAGCTTATTCTATGCTTATTATGATGCTTGTTATTATTATTATTATTATTTTAATTCATTAGCAAAAATTGACAATTCCTCTGAAAGCATATTTTCGCTCATATTATCACATTTACATTTACACATTTAGTCATTTAGCAGATGCTTTATCCGAAGCGACTTACAAATGAGGACAATAAAAACAGTCATAACTAACAAAAGACACACACACACACACACAAAGAAAAAAAAGTAGATAGAATAGAAAAAATAGAAAGCTAGTGTTTTTTTTTTTTATATAAAAAAAAGAAGATAAATATAGATAAAGTAGATTTAAAACAGAATAGAAAGTGCTAGAGTTAGAGGGTCAAATAAAGGTGGAACAGATGTATTTTTAGTCGTTTCTTGAAGATGGTTAAGGACTCAGCTGCTCGGATTGATTTATGCAGGTCATTCCACCAGGAGGGAACAGTTAATGAAAAAGTCAGTGAAATAGAAAAAATAGAAAGCTAGTGTTTTTTTTTTTTTTATAAAAAAAAGAAGATAAATATAGATAAAGCAGATTTAAAACAGAATAGAAAGTGCTAGAGTTAGAGGGTCAAATAAAGGTGGAGCAGATGTATTTTTAGTCGTTTCTTGAAGATGGTTAAGGACTCAGCTGCTCGGATTGATTTATGCAGGTCATTCCACCAGGAGGGAACAGTTAATGAAAAAGTCAGTGAAAGTGATATGTGGCTATGTATGCCACCAGAATAGTAATGCAAATGAAATTATTAAAATTAAATTAAAATGAAAGATGAAATTGAAGTGCAGACTTTAAGCTTTAATTCAAGGATCTAATTGAATTAAAATGATTTAATTCATGATTTTTGGATCATGAGCTGCTCCAAGCCTTCTCCGTACTTTTTTTTCTTCCCGTCATTCTGGTACAGGTTGATCTTAATTTTAGCTGCCCAAAGAATGCTTTTCCAGATGTGGTCTGGCTTTTTTTAAATGTTTTTTTTTATTTTTTATTTTTTTAAAGTCTAATCTGGCCTTGTTTGCACCTTGTGGTGAACCCTCTGTATTTGCTCTCATGAAGTCTTCTCTTGATTTTAAACTTTGACAGTGACACACCCACCTCCTGGAGAGGATTCTCCAATCATCTACCACTGTTGACCTCTGTGAACGTCCAGGCCTTTTTATGTGGTTTTCACTAGCTCACTAGTGCGTTCTTTTTTTTTTTTTCTCAGGAAGTAGCAAACTGTTGATTTGGCCACTCGTAATGTTCCTGCTATCTCTCTGGTGAATTTGGTTTGATTTTGAAACCTAACAATTGTCTGTTTCACTTGTATGGAGTGCTCCTTTGACCGCATTGTTGTGGGTTCAGAGCAACAGCTTCAAAATGCAAATGGCACACTTAGAATCAACTCAAGAACTTTTACCTGCTTAACTGATGTAGAAATAACAAAGGAATAGCCCACGTCTGTCCATGAAATGGCTTTTGAGTCAACTGTCCAATTACTTTTGGTCCCTTGAAAAAGGGGGGAGATACATATTAAAGTAAGGTGGATTCAAGTAATTCCTTAACCTTTCCTCCAATTTTGATGAGAGTACCCTCAAATTAAAGCTCAGAGTGTGCACTTTGTGGACGTAGCCTTAGTGTTGAACAAAACATAAAATTAAATAAAAATTAATTTAACTTGACTCTCAGATTACAAGTGCATATGTTTGGTTTGCACACATTTTAGAGTTTTTCAAGTAATTTCTGATATTAAAAAGGAATTTTTCTCTTTTAAAAGGAACATTTTGCAAAGCATTTACATTTATTATCACTTATCAGATATATCTTTTTTTATTTAAAGACTTTGCATGACATTCATTCTTACTGCATACTGATTTTAAAAGATTGCACTCATGAAGAGAATATATATATATATATATATATATAGATTAGATTCAACTTTATTGTCATTGCACATGTAAGGTTTAAATTATACCCAACCTCATGTATTCTCCTGAACTATGAAGAACAAGTTTTAAGCAAAAATCTTATCTAAGTACTATCAAATCTAGCATGTTTTTAACTCCAAAGAAAAAGAAAAAAAAAAACAGACTGCCGCCGTGCTTCAGTGGATATTTTAGTCTATATTTTAAGATATTTTTGAATATTGGTACATATTACACATCGGTCACTGATACCGCACATATCTTGCCAGCCACATATGATAAACGCCTACAGATGGATCTCGCTATACAAAGTGCTCTCGTTCAGCTAAGAAGGAGTTTTAATTAATAGCATCAACAGATCAGCTCTCAGACACTTCCACAATGTCAAGTAAAGAGAAGGTGTTGTCATGGTAACAGGCTATGCCAATAATGTATTCCTGAGGCTGAAGGAACAGGAGGAAAAATATATAAAGCGGCAATCAAGCACGTCAAGTCCAACTTATGCAGTGGCCGTCAGTTTGCGTTCACAGAGGACTCCTGTCTCCTTTTTTGCATGGCAAAAAAAAAAAACATAGCATCTCGACTTCTGGGCTAAATTAGACCGCTCACTATCGGTGTCGATTTGAGAGATGTCCCTCGAGGCGCTGTTCACCAAGCAACCTCTGAGCTAAAGCCACACCATTTATCATATTGGGTGTTTTTGCATTTATTTTAAGTCACTCCACAGATTCACTTGTCACTCGGTCCCTCAAGAGGAAACTTTGCGCTCATTTCCTCTCTCTTCGTCTTCTCCGGTTGCTCCTTTCTAAATCTTCAGGGCTGGAGGACAGCAGAATGATGGACAGGTTCTAGCACCGGTTCTCCTTCACTAAAGAGGCCACGTCTCAAAAACCAATTTGGCCGTTCAGGTGTTTGGAGGCTGTTGTCTGTTGCACCCTGTTCTAACCCTGAAGGGCAGCTCTGTGCCGAAATCTTGATACGGCTAATGCATTCTGTTGAAACAAATCAGATCCAGAACTGCATTCCCAGATGTGATCCTTCAGGTTTTAATTGATTAGGATTATTATGCCTGGACACTTCACTGAGATTAGTCAAAGTACAATTATATTAGAGTTATTCTGCTGCTTCATATATATTTTTTACCTGTTTTGTATATTTGTATAGTTGTATTTTTATATTTAATCTGTATCTATCTGTATTTATGTTCTACTGTTAGTGTTATCTGTATGCACCAAGGGTCTGAGAGTAACACAGTTTCAATTCTCTGTGTGTATGTGCTGTACATGTGGAAGAATTGACAATAAAGCAGACTTGACTTGACTTGATTCCAATGCACCGAATTACAATTTTCAAACCTTTATTAAGGTTTGCTAAGCACCAGTCATTAGTTGCAATGTATATTAAACAAATATGTCTTACTTTTTTCTTGGCCCACAGGCAGGCGCCAATGGAAACTGTAGGGCACAATTGGGCTGTAGGCACAACTTGAAATATGAAAAGCTGCTGAAAATGTACTCACCCTCAGGCCATCCAAGATGTAGATTAATTTGTTTCTTCATTATAACAGATTTGTAAAAATGTAGCATTACATCACTTGCTCACCAATGGATCATCTACAGTGAATGGGTGCCGTCAGAATGAGCGTCCACACATCTAATAAAAACATCACACTAATCCACAAGTAATCAAGTCTTATGAAGCGGAAAGCTGTGTCTGTTCAATCTCAATCAATCAATCTATCTATCTATCTATCTATCTATCTATCTATCTATCTATCTATCTATCTATCTACAGTATATAATATATTTATTTATTTATTTGTTATTATTATTATTATTATTAATATTAATATTAATATGAATGAATGTTTAATAATAATCATTATTAAACAGTGTTCTTACTAAAATACTGGCTAATATATCCATAATATTGCTCGTTCCAGTTATATAATGCAATGTTCCAATGAAGAAACTCATCTACATCTTGGTTGGCCTGTCGGTTAGTAAATTTACAGCAAAGTTTAATTTTGTAAATTTTAACTATTCCTTTAAGAAATGTGGATTTATCTGTTTAAAAAAATATATGCAATTGTAATAATCACAATATCAAGTGATATGATTTACATATAATATCAAGTTAATACTTTTTCAAATCAAAATAATTATTATTATTATTATTATTATTATTATTATTAATAATAATATTAATATTAATATTGATATTAATGAATGTTTAATAATAATCATTATTAAACAGTGTTCTTACTAAAATACTGGCTAATATATCCATAATATTGCTCGTTCCAGTTATATAATGCAATGTTCCAATGAAGAAACTCATCTACATCTTGGTTGGCCTGTCGGTTAGTAAATTTACAGCAAAGTTTAATTTTGTAAATTTTAACTATTCCTTTAAGAAATGTGGATTTATCTGTTTAAAAAAATATATGCAATTGTAATAATCACAATATCAAGTGATATGATTTACATATAATATCAAGTTAATACTTTTTCAAATCAAAATAACTTTGTAACTAAAATAAATTTTACTATAAATAACTAAACTTTTTTTTCTATTTTCTGTTTATTTTGATAAATAAAAGGGTTTGTTATTGTTCAGGGAATGCATGTTCATGTTTATATTCAAATACAATGCTCATTTTTATAATACAGAAACATAAATAAATAAATAAAGTTTCTTGAAAGAGATTGCATAAAAATGGCTTTATAGAAGTTAAGCCATATATAATGGTTTTGTCATACATATGGTGATTTTCTCTAAGGTGGCTACACAACTAAATTATATTAACTATCTGAATCTGAAAAGTAAGCTAGCCTTGTTTCATTATGTTAATTAATGTGCCTTTAGCCCCAACAGCATGGGTACTTTTTTTTACCCCCAATACCATAATTTTACATACTCTTCAGTTATTGAAAAAAAATTAATTTAATTAGCTTGAGCAAAAGTGAAAATCATTAACAAGAACTGTTTCTCAAAATAGATTCGGTAATTGTATTGCTTCTCTTTTGCTTTGTAAACCTTTAACATTTTAAAAACATTAAAAAATAGGTTGTTTTAGCACAGAATCAACTTTGCTGTGCTGTGCTGTGCTGTGGTGTGGTTTAGAAGACAATAAAACCAAATGCACCTTTTAGCCTGATGTGCCTCAGCCTTGTTGTACCCTATTAATTTTCTACGCTGATTTTGAAAATAAGCCAGCCAGATCAAATCAAAAGAATCAAATCAAGCAAAATATTTAATAAACAAACACACAAGAGTCATTTTGTAAATTGAATAGGTAGCGCACATTTGTGACATTCATAAAATAAAGACTTTGAGTTCTGAAACAATGCTTCGCATTCAAACAAGCAGCGTTTTGATTCATTTCCAGGATTAGAGCTTAACATACCCAAAGGCAGTCAGGACTGGATAATAGATTTGACCCTGAGTGACAGCACTCTCTTTCAGAGCACACACTGTCTTTCCCTTCGCTCTAAAAACAGGTCTGAGAACAGCTAATTTCCCCAAAGAACGCAAACAGATTGGCTGTGCTCCTTCAAGCCGTCCCTACTGCATGCCATGCCACCGTCATCGTCTTTGTTATGTTAATAGTGTAGTCCTTGCCTGAAATATCTATGTGTATGTGTGTGTATTTTGAGTTGTCGGTTAGGGCTTTGTTGTCGAAGACTATAAACACACTAATGAAAGTGTTTTCATGAGCAACTCTCTCATAATTCTGTACTCAAAGGGCAGTGGTGGGAGTGCAGCGCCTGCAAGCATAATGACTTATTTTCAAGGACTGTTCTCATGGGAAGTTTAGAGTCAGGTAAGATGGCAAAGCGAAGACACCTTTACACAATAATTGCAAATATTTTTCAATCAAGTCTCAGAGCTGTGGGGCCTACATCAAATAAACAAAACAGCGTAACTGTGTTTATTAACAGAGCCCCTGGCTGTTTTACATGCATGACGGTAATGGATGCACAATTATATCATTCAATTGCATCGATGCAAATGTCTTGAAAAGTTTTAAATGTGAATGCTTTGTTAGAAAAGTGTCTTTTGTTTGCTTTCCAGCACACTGCAAAAAAAATAAAATAAAAATGATAAAATTCGTAATTGCTGTTTTTGTCTTGTTTTCCAGTTAAAACTAATTGGAAGTAAACATTGAAGTGGATATTTTTTCACCTTTAAAGCACACATACATGGGGGGGTGGTTACACACGTATACCCTCCATGCAGTTAAATGTATTCTATATATTGATAAAGTATAGAATACGAAAACTACCAATCATTGAATGTGTACTCATCATGCAGTTCAAGAAATTGAAAACGTATCCGTCTCATCAACCAATTTATCAAATTAGATTGACTGTGCTTTGTGCATCTCAGAAGGGAAAACTGTTCGGCTTTGCATTTGATTGAATACTAAAGTTGAGTCTGAGGTGCGCTGAACTGGTATACGTTTGGCCCAGGAATATCTAACAAACAGTCCTTGAACTGAATGTGTGTGAGTGTGTGTCTTCCCGTGATGGACTGGCCATCCATCCCGAGTGTTTCCTTGCCTGTGGCCTGAGATGCTGGGAAAGGCTCCAGCATCCCCACGACAATACACAGGGCAAGTGGCTTGGAGAATGGATGGATGGAGTCCTTGAACACCACTCCATATAGTGCTTTACCTGAGATCACTGCTGTTCTGTTTACTTATAGCTAACTGCATAATTTTCTTCAGAGTGCAGTCCAGTAAGACAGCAATGTATAAGAAATTGCTGCATATTGTAAGTGTTCTAAAATAAATAACTAAAAATAACCATATTATTATTATTATCTAAATTGGAAGCAGTTACCTTCATCTAACTTCAGGTTCAGATGGAAAATGTATACTTCCTTGGACATACATTTATTGCAACAAGTACAGCAAATGACATCCTTCATCCTTCAGTAAGTACTAAACCTCTGGCACATATGTCCTACATGCATTGATGCATCAATATA